CTGGGAAGCTTTCAAAGAATATCATGGGTACTCTTTGAAAACCTAATGCCTCAAAATCTCACTGGTTTTGGGAGAAAAAAACTAAAGAAAAGTACTAATCCCTAACACCAACCCCAGCTGAAAATCTTAGTATTGTTCACTTCAATAACAAAGGCTTTGTTCGGTGGGCTTCTCCAGCTTCTCCAGATAGAAAGAAATGTAGTCTTGCCAGAGCCCGAAATTGTCTCCCTACTTCACAGTAAATGTTTGTAACAATTCCTAGCAGCTTCTTACAGTAGTGCAAATCTCTCTCTTTCTTTCTCTCTCTCTGTCTCTCTCTCTCTCTCTGATAAAGCAGATTAGCTTGGTTCATTTTGGAAAAAATGGAAGATCCCAATCAATTGTATTTACTTAAAATTACTGCTCTTTTGGCTATAAAGGAAACAATAGCTGAAAGCTTAAAAGAGCTGGGATGGGAGTAACATTCAGGAAGCTTTCTAGCTTAAAAGAAACCTGAAAACTAGAACTGATCCCTTACCAAAAGCAAAAGTAGCTTCAAGTAATCTGATATGTAATTGTTTGTAGAGTTAGAAATAAAGGTCGACTTTGGGGATAGCACAGAAATTGCATTGGACAATCTTCTGGATGACCTTTAGAGAAGCCAGGATCAGAGGCATGCACCTCCCAGGTCCACTTTGGTCTCCTGGTGGTTTGCAATACCACCAACCATGGTATCCTTCTGGAATGCTTCCAAGGGATTGGGGAAGAGCTACAATCATCCAGTGGTTCTTGTCAGCCCTGCAAGGTAGTCTAGAAGAGAAACACAATTGGGGTATACTGTAGGTTTATGTTAACAGAATGTTGCAAGAAAGCATTTCTCCTCTCGTTTCTTTTACTTTCCAGAAAACTAGGAAGGGCACCTTCTGAAATATTTCCCATGCCATCAGTCCCCCTTCTGTGCACTGAGACATATTTTATATGCCAGTTGTCCCGTCTGCAGCTCTCCTGTCTCCCAAGGTAATTTCCACATACTATCACAGTTCTACTCTTTCATGTAGGGGTAGTTCCAGCCAGTGGCAATGGTAGAGCTATCCCAAGACCTCTATTTTGTGATAAACCTCAGAAGTCCTTCCTCTCCCTACTTCTTTTCAATACATGTGTGAAACCACTGGGAGAAGGCATTTATCAGCACAGTGCCCAGTATATTCTGACAATATGCTGGTTATACTCACCCCAAGACTGAGCAAACAATGTGGTAGGCATTTGTCTCAGTACCTGGCAACTGTCGGGGTTTAGATGGGGTAGGATAGATTCCATCTGAATTCCTCCAAGATGGAGTGGCTCCAGGTTCGAGGCATGAATGATCCCAAGAAAATACCATAGAATATCTCCATCTTAGAATGGAGATATTCTATCCTGTTCAGAGAAGGTCTGCAATTTGGAATTCTTCAAGACTCACAGGCCCTGCTTTAAATTCAGGCAACAGATGTAGCTAGGAGGACCTTTATGTTTATTCTCAGACTGGGACTATGGTCACGGTCATTCACACCCCTGGTCACCTCCTGCGTGGATTACTGTAACATGTTCAAGATGCAAGTGCTTTCGAGGAACATCTGGAAGCTGATACAGAATGTGGTGGTCCAGACAGATTTCACTGGGTCAACAGTCTCCAAGTCCCATATAGGCAAGACTGCAATGTGACAGAAATGGTCTGTTTCCATTACCACCCACTGGTAATGGGTGGGACTGTCTGTGGGACTCTCTCCCAGTGGATTTTTGATTTGTCTCATTTCCCTCCCCCTAAACTTTAGGAAAGTCATAAAGGCATTTTGTTCTGGCTGGCAAAGGAAGAGACTGTTTTATAATATCCAGGTAGGGCCTCCAATGTGCATGATTTATTTATATGGATTTATTTAGATTTTGGTTTGTATGCATTTGTTGTTAGTTGCCACTCTGGCTAAGAGTGATATAAGTATAACAAATACTGTTGTACATGTGTAGACAGACATAGATATATCAGATTAAATTCAATTCTGAAAGAATTGTCTCCATGTAAATGTGTTGAGATACTCCATTTTTAAAAAATATAAGGTCATGTATTTTTACTTGATTCTGTGAATGAATAGTTAGAACAGTTAGTGAAACAGTAGCAATCACAAAGTAGATCCGGTATGTCTGAAATTTGCTGACTCCTTAACAAAAAAGCAAAATTGACACTGACTGTTAAAACATCTATCAGGAATTTATTACAACACATTGTTCCCAAATACAAAAGAAAGGAAAAGAAAGAGAGGGTAAAAAGCACTGCTGTTTACAGCCTTCAATAATAAATAAATAAAGTCAATGCAGGGGCTGAGTGCACCACTCAATCCTGCCAAGCAACATCCAATGTCAGCATTCCTTTAGCAGGCAGAAGGGGATGTAGTTTGGTTATCACGAGAGAAGGAAGGGGACAAACTCACAGACCAGATGCAGTGTCATTTCCCCTGCGCGCACTTCACCCATCCTAGATGGTACTCAGAATTTATTCCCAGGATATACAGATCTCAATATCCAAATTTCCATTCCATGAGCAATCCTTGCTTATGAATCACCCTGAGAACCAAGTCTTCATCTCTTGTTGGTGGATATTCACAGACTAAGGTCTTTGGTTCTGTGCCTGTGTCAAGAGGCTCAGCATCTCATCCCTTAGTCACATAATTCCCCGTTAATGTTTACAAGACAGAAGAACTTGCAGAATAAAAACGTGGCTCCACAGACAAGAGGGATTTCTGTGTACACCTTCTGAGAAAGTTGGGTTAAGTCAGTTTCTCTACTCTTTCCAAAAGAATTCTGAGTGACAATAAATAAACACAACATATTGCAACAGAAAATTTGCACCTCCTCTCTGAAATCTCACAACAATTTGTTGAATGGCTATTCTACTGATTCCTACTGAGAATGGCTAGGAAATACGTGGCAGATAGGTGACTAGGAAGGACTCAAATGTCCTTTGCTCACAGTTGTGTTTTGCAATACTGGCTTTCTATTCATTGGGCAATAAAGGAAAAATGGGTGGGATATAAGACTCCAAACAATTCCTGGAGACAGAGGAATCGCCCCTAGGAGTTTCAGCCATTCCGGGTTCTATGGCAAATTTGAGAGGGACGCTTGTTCTGTGTACAAACCAGCCAAACCAGTATACTGAAGAATTCAGAGAGACTTGCCCATGACACGCAACTATATAGAAAACAGTTGCAGGTTTGAATTTTGTTGGCGCAATAATACTAAATACATTAAATGATAAATATTCCACTGAAATCTAGACAACTTTAGAATGAAATAACCTGGGTCTTTCATGTTGGTATCTGAACACTGTTAACATGAAAAACCCCTTGCTGTCAATAAGGGAGCAGGCTCTGTATCTCTTCTATCCTGTCTAGTCTAATGTAATCACAATACTATGGTGACAGAAAAGTCTATATTACAAAATTGTATCTAACTGGGTTTTATTACAGGATTTGGAGACTAAATGCCTCCTTTTAATTGCTTTTGGCTTCCATCAAACCTATTTGTGTGATGGCTTTTGATACAGATTCGTGACTTGAAAAGATGTTGGGAAATTAGATTTTTTTTCCAGAGTGCAAACAATTTTTCTTGAATTCTTAGCACTCATCAAATTTTAATTCCAAGGATGGGGGAAATCATCGCACTGAAATTAGCCTGCATTAGCTCTGTGTTCACTTTCCCCCATCTAATACCATCCAGATAAGTAGGAATTTAATTCCCCATCACAGCACAATGGCTATAATAATTGTGGGGGCTGGGATTTGTAGTCCAGAAGAGGACAACTACTATCAGGTAAAAAAACAGATACCTTCTGAGGCACTCTTTAATTATCCCAAATCACGTTAGAGCTTTTATCTTTCTTCCTACAAAACTTTAGTGGATCTAGGGAAGCTTCAGTGTCTGGCAGAGTTTTGAAGAGAATACGATATCCCTGAGAGGAGAACTTCTCTACCTCCGTCTGTGCACTGTTTGGCAATCACACACGCCACAGTATTGACCAGCCTTTGCGTACAGTTGGAACCAGAGAAAGCAGAGGGCAGGCGGAGAAGGGAAAAGCCCATATATATTCACAACAGAGAAACAAAGATCAACATACATAGAAGCAAAATCACATAATAATATAATAATAAATACTTAAATCTATAATTCATACATTGCAATTACAACATTGATAGCTTATTATCATTAGCATTAGGATCCAGAGGAAAGTAGGAAAGATATCCTTTTAAGGAATTGGCATCCAGTAGAGGAGACATGAAAACAGCACATGGGATACCAGAAACAAGGAGGACAGAAATAATAAATAAAACCACAACATGATAAAAACAGGCAGAAGGGTGAAGAATCACAGCAAAGCCTTCAAAACAAAGCTAACAAAACTTTTTGTCACAGGGGGAAAAAAAAAAGGTGCTGCAAGCCAGAAAAACCCTATGTAACACCTAGGATGTTGGATAATTTTGTACCTGGTGTGAAGTTAAAGTGACGTGTCTTTCTCTCTCTCCACATTCTGGAGATGGGGAATTAGCAGCAAGACAATGGTGCTGTTAGAGTCAGCTGCACCCCAAATAAACTGCTTTATGGTTTTCAACTTGGGCTTGGTTAGCATTATATTATCATGACCTTACTTTTTCTGATACGAATTTCTCAAACTATGCCTATTTCTTGCATATATGTTAAATACTGCTTTGGTTCAAAGGTATAGTCATTCTTGTCCTATTGCTCCCAGCATAGCCAAATATAATTTTTAAGTGGGCCACCATTTATAAACTTGGTTTTTCAAAGTTTTCAAGTCTGGGGGTGAAGGCCAGAAGTTGGGTCAGGATAGGAGGAACCAGGTTTTAAATGAGCAGGGTTTTGGGTTGTTGGTTTTTTTGTCTGTATAAATTCTAAACCAGGGGTCTTCAAACATGGCCCTTTTATGACTTGTGGACTTCAACTCCCAGAATTCCTCAGCCAGGCATGCTGGCTGAGGAATTCTGGGAGTTGAAGTCCACAAGTCATAAAAGGGCCAAGTTTGAAGACCCTGTTCTAAACACATTAGACCAGACACCTTTGTATGTTTCTACAATGATAAAATGGAGCTAACTACTAAACTTTATGGGGGAATAGTAAGAAGCAAATATAAAACAATTTAGAGATACGGCACTGCTACTAATGGAATATGAACTAGTGAATTTACTTTATTCCCTGCATTTGGAATAATATTTGCTAAAGACCATGTGTAAACTATTTTTCTTAGAAAGGAGTTGAACAGAATACTTCTCAATGAGTATCAATGAGAAGAATCCAGAAGCATCTAATTCCAGTTCATCAAACATGACTGGTTAATGCTAATTCTACTTTAATGATACATTCACAAGATCAAGAATTCCTAAAGAGGAATTTTCCATCTGGGCTTCTGATGCTCACAAGCTCACAGGTGAAGTGAGGATTTTGATCTTTTAGTATCTGTGAATACTGTACCAACCCAGACTCCAAGAAACCTGCAGCAGAAGATGTCACCTTGCTTTCATCATAATAATTCAACAGTTGTTTTTTTTTTAAAAAAAGAAAATTCAACTGCCAGTGTGAGAACCTAATTGCATCTCTCCAGTCCCACTGCCCCATGCCCCTCTGCATATTACTTGCAAAATAGCATGCAGGTCCACATAAGTCACTTCTGAGCTTGCAGCATCTAATCTGAACAGACAGTGGTAAAATAAATACAATGAAGATCTCTCTACTTTGTGTCTTGGCAAAGTAGATAGCAATTACTATGGTCAGGAAACAGACAACCTGATGCAAGAACATGTTATTGCTGCTCCCCTGTGGTTTGCAAAGTCTGAACCTGAGATTGTTATTTTTGTCTTGTGTATTTTAAAAAAAATACAGCTGAACAAGAAAAGAAATGGGAAAAGAAATGCACTAAAAAGATTTTTTTTCCTTTTAAAAGCTACACAAACAACCCTGAGGTATTGGCTCAAAAAAAAAAAAAAAACCAGCACGTGATACGAAAGGAGCAAATGCAAAATCAGATACACATAGAAGAAAATGTGCTTTCAGGGAGACAGTTCTGTGCCTTTACTTTAAATAGATGAGCAGCCCCTGGAGTGCCTCTGTGTCATGAACTGAATCCTTTGCTATTCACCACAAAATACGTCCAGAATAGCCAATAATGAAAATGTGCAACATCCTTCCCACTCTTGTGTTTTGACTGGGATCGTACATTTGTGGCCAATATTACCTTGACGTGCGTGTTCATTTGCTTGCCCTAAAGTTCCATTTTGTACCTGTTCAAGGCAATGTAAACAACGTGGCCCTCCAAGATAGAGGCCTTCGACAAATATTTCATACAACACTGGGACTGTAACATTTACCAAGTTAAAGCAGCCCACTTCCACGGAGAACTTCCACACCAGTGGTTCCCAGGGAAGTGAAACACTAAAGTGGAAACCCTCTGCTTGGTTGAGCTCATCTACACAATCAGTGGCTTACAAATAATCTAAAAAAATAACAACCCAGCTGCATGTAGTATTTCTCAAACAATCTTCTCCATCAGAAATATATGTGAATCTGCCTATTGTTCAGTGATGTTAAACCATTTTTTTTCCTCAACGAAGGCCAGCCCTACTATCAAGTTGATTGAGCAGCAGATTTCTACCAGTAAGAAGTGATCTAATTTACATTCTTCATTTTATTAGTATAGTTTAACAACTGGGAACATGTTCAATTATCCACGTGGTGTGAAAAAAATCCTGAGCTGGCTATGGCCTCTTCTGATTTAAGATGCACATTTTCTAAAAGGCGCCAGAGAAACCTTTACTCCATAAGAAGAAAAGTGTTACCTGCAAAAGAACTTTAATCCAAATTATTTCCTAGCGACTTATTTAGATGAAACCTTCAGAACTAGTTTTCTTGTCCTGGTCATCGACATTAGTCTCTTAAGCTCAAGACAAATAAAATCTCTGGCCAAGCTGAAGTTCTTAATAACATTCTAGAGGCTTAGAAGATAGATGATGAAAATGGAATTTGGAATGGGCTGGCAAGAGCTTCACATTACGTCTAAAATATTCTTTATCCTTTCTAGAACTTCATTTCTTGAAAGGCTTGTTCACTTTGATGACCTGCTAAGTGAATTTTGTCTTTGGACTGTTCGCTCACTGACTGATTTGCATTCACTGAGAAATCCCTGATTGATGGTGAATGAGTACTTAAGAGGAAACAGAGATTTTGGATGGAGAATTGAAGTTAAAATGTCGGTTCTTGCAGTAGTAAAAAGGACACTGCCTCTTGGCAGCTTCCCTAAAGTAGGCCTGAGGATATTTATGAGATTTTTACTCTAGTACCACAACATAATTTATTCAACATTTCCATGGTCTTAGTTCTCCAAAATTCTCTTCCATCTCCATTTGCCTTCCACAGATGCTGGGTTTAACATTGTTTGAACAAGAGGAGCCATTCGGAATAGCCTGCCCTTGGATTTAAGAGCACAGCTCACCAGTTCTCCTAAGTCAATGGGGAATTAAATACTCTGGCCTTCTGAAAAGACCCCCCCCCCACACACACACAAACACTGGGTTCAGATCTAATGTGCTCCCTTTACAGACTGCACATATTTAATTGAATATATAGCTCCTATGCAGTCTGCTCCCCCTTCCTACTCAAGGTACCCTTTTTCTTATAGCTAAGCCTACTCTTATAGTCATAACTCTTATTATCCCCTGCTCAGACCAGGAAGGAGAAGATTTTATGGCTTTGATTGCAGGTGTGATAGAACAAGGAAATAAAGAAGCATTAAGAAGAATTCCTGGCTCAGTTTGAGTTAAAGATTTTCTCACTTTTTTAAAAAATAAAAAGCAGATGCCCATATACACACCCATACATCCATGCACATGTGCACATGCATACACACACACACACACCTCTTTTTCTTTTTGGGGGGTGCCTCCACTACTGATGCAAGGAGCCACAGGTCTAAGATATTGCTTTGAAACTTGTGTTTCAGATTTAAATACCGTACACATAAAAACGGAGCTGGAGAACTGCCCCTACATTGTCTGAAAATCATTGCCAGAATGAACAGCTTCAAATAAATTAGAAAGAAAAGTTGAAAATTATTTGTCTCAATAAAAACTGTAGTAAAACCTTTAAACTTTTTTCTTTGTGTTTTTTTTCTCTCTTTTATATTATATAATATATATTTATACATGTATAGGACTGCAGAACAGCAGCTTTAAAGAATACTAGCCAGAGAAACACAAAGGCCCATGCTCAGTATAGGAAGAGGGGAGTCTCGGAAAAGAAGCCTCTCCGGGTTTCTGCACCTGAATTTGGGAAAGAGACACCAATATATTGTACAACCCTGATGGGAATAGAAATGCCCCTGCTGTAATGGAAACGGATAGGCAAAATCTCAATTACTTCCTATACGTTAGATAGGAATGTATTAATTATAATGAGTAATACACTCTTCAAAGAAAAGAACCTGCTTCCCTTTAACTCTTCCTGTTAATCTGTGGATCAAAGAGCAACCATTTTCCTCCAAGAAAACTATCACTCCTCCCAAGCTTCAACTTCGCCCTGGTTTCTCTTTCAACCCCATTGTAGGAGACATGCATCAGCTCTCCCCCGTTCCCTCTGAAGGGGAAGAGAAAGCACCCTTTGCATGCAAAAGGAAAGAACCCAATATTTAAAGAGTTAATATACTCTCCACCTACCCAAAAAAGGGAATGTGATTGTGGTTTGTCGTGGTGGTGGTGGTGGAGGTAGGAACCAAAGGAGGCACTAAGCATGCACCATTATGTTTCTTGACTTCAGATTCCTTTAGCTTTTTGCCTTCGTTTTAGTGGATATGCCCTTTGGAAATGCACACGGGCACATGAGAAAAGGCTCTAACACATACCCACACCCTCCTCAGTTAAATATGTCACCAATCTTTCTCCTCATCCCTACCTCCCTTCCCCCCGCCCCACATCCCCAGATGCACCCACACTTGCTCTCAAATCTCACACAGTGAAAAATCAGGACACCTCTATGATCTCCATGCTGCCCGAAAAGCTAGACTGTTTGCTAATTTTGCCCAGGTCTTCCCGAGATCTGCTCTCTGACAAGGTTTCTTCAAATTCCATTTGGCAGCTCCTTCTTTTGAACTGCTTCTCGGGCATGGTGTCCTCGTGCCAGCTGTGTCGCACCTCTCGCTGCTCTCCTCGTTGCTTGTCCCTCAATCTGATCTCACAGCTTGCCTGGATTGTGCTGCAGCTGAACGAGGAGTAGGTGGTGGCACTGGCAAAGAGAGTCCCACTCCCACTGCCTTTGCTGCCTGTTGCTGAGTCTGTGCTGAAGTACCAGGGGTTCTCCGTAGAAGGCGTGCTTGGGGATTCCACGTGCATTCCCCAAGTACCAGCAGTGGAGGGGGTTGTGGCTGGCTGGGCCAGCTGCTGCCCTACATTGGGAAGGCTCAGCCGAAGGGTCTGCTTCAGATTGTCCTCCGTGCTGGTGCTTTTGTGCATGGCACACATCCCACTGAAATTCAGGCTCAGCCCATGGGCAGGGGAGCCTGCTTGGTGCCTGTGCTTCCGTCGTTGTCGTACTTTGGCCTCTAGAATGAAGTCAGGTCCACTGGGCCAGTCAGAACCATCTGGAACAGGAGAGAACTGACACGTACCATTGGGACCTGAAGGGCTGTCCAACTTACAAAGCTTGGGAGTTTCCCCTACTTCTGTAGGAACTGGGATCTCCTGCCTTTGAGTAGGACAGTAGGCTGACTTGATGTCCAGAGAAAAAGAACGCTTTAGTCGGTTGGTGTCTTGGATGCGCTCAGAAGATAAATGCAGCCCATTGAGTCCTTGCTGCAATGCCATTGGTGAGACAACCTTTGAAATTCCTAGTGATCGTTCAGAGTCAATGGAGGATGTTTCCAAGATTGTGCTTTTTAATACCTCCTCAGACTTTTCCGAGATAAACAGAGTCTGGGGTCTATTACCTTCGCAAGTCTCAAAGTATTCTTGCTGGGGTTCCCCTTCACCTTTCTCTCCTTGGGCCTTCAAAGCCTTGAGTAGCTTCAAACTTCTCTCATACTCTAGGAGTTGACCTAAGAAGTTGAAATTGGGTGATATGGAGGGACGTCTGTCTTTGACAAACCTGTTGGGGCAAGCAAAGAGCCATGATTATTACATGGCATTTTCTTACTTCCAATAAAGATATATTTTATAGATCTTGAAAGCATATATTTTATAGATCTTGAACATCTAATCAGCAAGCCATGGTTGTAAAAGATTCTTAAAAACTCTATAATTCAAAGCAACACTAGAAACTAATTATATTCATCTTTCCCACATGCCCATGGCTTTAAAAAGTAGAGATATATTTAAGGATCTCTCCTTGTCCAATAGAAGATCAACACAAATTTCAAGGGTTCAGCAAAGTGGTTATATGTGTTGATTCCATACCCATATATAAGCCCTTACTGTATAGAGCAGAGGTCCCCAATCTTTTGGGCACCAGAGACCGGTTTTGTGGAGAGAGATTTTTCCGTGGACTGGAAAATGCATGGTTTTGTGTGCTGCTTGCATTCCACAGATGTGGCTTTGCTTGTTTGTTACGGACCGGTTGCTAGTATGCCATGGACCGGTACTGGTCGACGGACCGGGGGTTGGGGACCCCTGGTATAGAGTATTAGTTCAGCACTTCATTTTTTTTTATCAGTGTGCCTTATCAGTTTAAAAAAAAACAAATTTACTGTGAATCACAAAATGACTAAATTTACATGTGAGTGATCCCAAACATTCAAAGAGTGGGAGCCAATCATCAGGCTACCACAAGCTCGACAGTTACATAAATCAGCTTCTAAACTTACACTAAGAAACTGGGCCAAGAATTAAGAATTAGAGCAGTGGTTCTCAACCTTTTTAATGCCGCGACCCCCAACCAGTCGTAAGTCGAGGACTACTCAACCGATCATAAGTCGAGGACTGTTTGCAGAATGGGACTTTTGGCAGGCTCAGCAGGGCAGAGGCAGCCTGGACAATTCCTATTGGCTTTTGAAAGCCAATAGAATTAGACTCTATTCAAGAGAGTCTATTCTATTGGCTTTCAAAAGCCAATAGAATAAAAGGGAGTAGCACAGCTAAGGAAAACGGGAAAAAAATGGCGGACTGCGTTGTTTGGCGACCCCTGTGAAATGGTCGTTCGACCCCAAATGGGGTCCCGACCCACAGGTTGAGAACCACTGAATTAGAGCTTCACAAAAGGCATAACATTTATGGTATTATTTTCTTTTTTATGTGCTCCACTTGTCTTTTTGTGGGGGGACATAGAGAAAAAAAAGCTTGACTTCAAAAACAGCTATTAAAAAAAATAAAACCTGTCCTAAGGAGCTTTTGAGGATTGGGTGGGAGGGGAGAAGGGAAGGTGGGGGTGGGTGGGGAAGAACCAGCCAGCCAACTATTCTCCTTGGAAAGGAAAAAGAATCAGCATCTTCTGGAAATTTGTAGAAACCTACCTGTAGGCATCATCTGAAGACATGCCCATGGTCTTCATGATGTATGCAATGGCAATGGTGGCCGATCGGGAAATGCCTGCCAAGCAGTGCACAATCACCTGGCAGCTAGAAACCTTGGCCTTATCTGCAGCACAAGAAAGCAGAGGTCACTTCAAGCAAAGACATCTTAAAGACTACCAAGACTCATTTCAGATCATTTCAGATTCGGTGAAGTAAAAGCTTATCTTACCAAATCTGAAATCTTAAATATGTCATAAACTTCCTTGTTGTCTTTGTTGCTGCAGACTAACCTTGCTCTCCCTTGGTGACCAGAAGGAAAAAGCAATAAACCATATGAACAAGATATTTATCTCTGCACAGGTGGATGCTTTAAGCCAAAACTTGCTTTAATTTAAGTGAAACCTTGTTTTGATTGATTAATTGGGAGGTGGGGGGATGGTCACTCTGGTAAGCTGAACACCATGGCATCATAGGGCCATATAGTTCATCATTTGTTTATTGACATCCTTATGCAAATCACATCATTTGTATAGTAATGTCATTAGGTAAATTATGGACTGTTGCAAATTAAGGTTTAGGTTTCACTGTGCTTCTCATGCTGGTTACCCAGTTTTTGCATTTAGCTTGCAGCAAGAAGAGGGAATCTGATTGTTGTAATCCAGTTGTATATTCCATATATAATATTGGAATCAGAGAACTTGCATAGTGCAAATTTAAAATAGTTTAAAGGAACCAAATAGGCAAATATGTCCACTCGTCCCTTATGAGGGGGTGATTTGATTCTTACAGCCTGGACTATGGCTGTCTATTTGACAATCATTTGCAACAAATTGTGTTGCTTTGACATGATAAAAATTATGGAACAAATAAATAAAGCCTGGATTAAAAATCTGGGCACAGAATTCATTTATTTAAGCATAGCATCAATTAAACAAGTCAACAAATATCTGCATTGTTTACAAATGTTTCATTAATTAATTAATTAATTCATTCATTCATCCATCCATCCTGTAGATATTTTGGATATTAACATTCCTAAATCCTAAAGGTCATTCTGGCTCTGAACTATGGGAGTTGATTCAATACTCCAGAACGTACCAGGATGATCAAGAGTGCTTTCACAGACAATCTGAAGCACTGCTTACATTCTATATCTTAAGAAATAAATTATTTCTTCTACATATGTAGTTGTTTAACAAATAATATCTGAATAAGCCTGGCTGTTCTGAAGTTTAAAAAGCATATTCATCAAAGGAAGGAGCAGTATTTGTCTCAAGTAGTACTAATTGTTCCTCTGTGATATCCAAATTTACATCAGCCTTATCATCTGGCCATCAGCACCAGGAACTTGTTTTGTGCAAGGGAGAAGGTCCATCTTCCAAAGGCAGGCTGGTATTTTGCACACGGTAGATCTTTAAAATATGGGATCAATGGAACGGGAGAGGGGGAACTGAGCAAATTGGTCATCATTTGCCACAACAGCAGAGAAACTGAAAAGGTATGAAAACATGTTTTTTCAAGAGCTTTTTACCAATAAGTCTGGTCTTACCAATGAACTCAATCGATTTATCCAGCCAAGGAAGCAGTTTCTCACAGTAATTGTCATTGACTGGAATGCGCATGAAGTGACTGTCACAGATGAAATCTGGTTTGGGACATGAATTGCTGGCGTTGAGAACATAGCTGATCCCATTCTGGGTCATCAGGTCCTGAAGGAAAAAAGAGCTAAGTTCTTACATTTGTCATTGAGTGCAGAATCCTCTCCCCTATTCTTCCAGATTATGCTCTAGTTTTAAGAGGCAGTGGAAATCCAGAAGATATTGAACTACAGTTCTCAACGCCACAGTCAGTATGGCCAAAGAGAAGGAGGCAAGGAATTACACATTGACAATGTTGAGAAGGTTACAGATTTTCCACTCCTAGTACATTCTCCTCCTTTCTCACTTGTACTGTATCTCCTACTAGACTGTCTACCATCAGGTTTTGTAGCCATAGAGGGCTTCTATGTATTTTAGCCACCAGTTTAAAATTGTTGAGCAGCTTCTTGTCATAACAAAGAGCTGCACCTTCACCAACCAAGTCAAGAGCAACACAATATTCCTCTTGTTGAATTACCATTTTTTTCTCCACAGTCCCTGGGCAATAAACCCCAACCTCAAATTCTAGGAGCCAGCCAAACTCCCAAGCTTACATTCTTAGCATTTTTTCATTCTTGTGTCTTTCTACTCCCTGTATAAAATGTTATTTTCTTTCTTTCTGCACCTCTAATTTAGATGCTTCCTCCCACCTCCCTGTGAGCAAATACGCTACTGGCTCCCTCCTGCCTAGGATACATGCCCACTGATATTGTAATAATGACTTCTTTCTTAGTCTCTCTTCCCTGCAGCCCTATCATAGCCAAAGCATTCTGGCACCTTTTGAAAGACAGTGCTGCTCCCTCCCTCTCTTCTACCCAATGCCCATCTTTATGCATTTGGGGGCCCTCTCAAAGGATTTTTTCTTGCAGATGTAGGCTGTGCTGCCTACACTCTCTGGCACCTCAACTTACCATCAGTCACAGCTGAATGCCAAGGCTAATACCTCATCCTCTGGCTGGACATGGAAAAGCTGAGGTCAGTGTTGTTCTTTAGCCTGGCTGGCACTGTACTCTGGCAATACAAAACTGGCTCCCCTCACATAACATTTCTTAGGGACAGCCTCACCATCCTGATATTCCCACTGCTAATGCCTTTAATGCTTCAAGGGAAGCCTATGAAGCCTCTCTCTCTCTGCACCCTTCAGAGGTCCAGAGAGAGAGAGAGAGAGAGAGAGACTGTTGTTCAACTGGGTGATGTACGATTGCCCACAGGGAGCAAACGACTCTTGGTGCCTTTACAGAAGAAGATACAGATTCTACAAGACAAGCCCAGCTCCCTCCATGCCACAGAGTACCTTATTTAAGACATCTTTCTGGGAACCTAGATAGAGGTGAGGCAAGATGCGTGTTGGGCCAACATTGGCCACTGGCAAGCATGGCTGCGAGATACTCATTGGCAGGATGGCAGTTGGTTTTCCTTCACAGAGTCCTGGGAAACAAGACGAAAAGGTGGCAAAGCCCCCTGAAGGAAAGAAAGGAAGGAAAGAGGAATTAGGAGCAATATTTTCTTTTTCATTAACTGCATTTTACTTGTAATATTCTACACTCATTCTAATCACCTATCACTTCAGTACTGAACTAAACTTTCTATCTGTGGAACTATTTGGCAGTACAGCCCTTAGCTTTCATAAAAACATTTGTTATTGTTGTTAATCGCGAAGTCGTGTCCGACGCATCGCGATCCCATGGACAAAATTCCTCCAGGCGTTCCTGTCCTCTACCATCTTCTGGAGTCCATTTAAGTTCACACCTACTGCTTCAGTGACTCCATCCAGCCACCTCATTCTCTGTCGTCCTGTTCTTCTATTGCCCTCAATCTTTCCCAACATTAGGCCCTTCTCCAGTGAGTCCTTCCTTCTCATCAGGTGGCCAAAGTATTTGAGTTTCAACTTCAGGATCTGGCCTTCTAAAGAGCAGTCGGGGTTGATCTCTTCTAGGACTGACCGGTTTGAACGCCTTGCAGTCCAAGGGACTCGCAGGAGTCTTCTCCAGCACCATAGTTCAAAGGCCTCAATTCTTTTGCGCTCAGCCTTTCTTATGGTCCAACTTTCACAGCCATACATTGCAACTGGGAAAACCATGGCCTGGACTATACGCACTTTTGTTGGCAGGGTGATGTCTCTGCTTTTTAGAATGCTGTCTAGATTTGCCATAGCTTTCCTTCCCAGGAGCAAGCGTCTTTTAATTATAAAAACATTAGACATGCATATAAAAGCAAATAACTGATTTTGGTGACAGATTTTTTTTCAAGCAACTTACAAAGGGAATGTACCTGTTCCTAGCTAAGAAGCAAGTATGGCTCTTGGGGATATTGCTATAGCTGTCCTGGTGTTAGGCTTTGTCAATGTGTTGCATTCCCACACTCTTCAACTTTCCTTTTCACTTGCCTACTACATTGTCTCCTTCTTTAGCCGCTGCAATCTGTTCCAGAGATTTTGTCATTAAATGAAATGGTCACTACATGAACACATAACTCGGAGACAGAGGAGAAGATTGCTGGTTGCTACAAAGGTTGGTGGTTGCTGCCAGCTCATTCAGATAAAATTCATGCAATCTACACTAGGGTTACTCTGACTCCAGTGTTTCTGATTGTCAGGTCCAGAAATGTGGTTATAAGCGCGCACGTTGGTTGGAGCATGAATTTATTTTACTACTATTTATTACCATTGTATTTGCAAATGATGGCTAACTAAGGTAGTTGCTAAATGGGGAGTAGCTGTTCCAGGATCAGTATTTCATTAGTGTCCGTTGTCATCTCTCTTAAAAGTTTCCTGATCTGCTATTTGCTAAAAATTGTCAACGTGAGTAATATTCTTTTGTTTTCTTACAACTCTATTTCATGAAACAGAATTTCATACGCCTACTTCATATCTTACTATTACCAAACTATTACTTAGTTAAGAAACATAGTTAAACAAATATTAATGTAAAAAATAGAAAGAGAATAAGCAAAGAAAGTATGGTTAGAAGGATGAATTAAATTGTTAACTTCAGTTTCTCATCCCTCCTTAGTTCATTTGATCCGTTTTCCACATCATTTTGAAATTGTTAAAAATACGTATACAAATGTTACTAGAAAAATCCAATTCCCTTACATTATTTTTTATTTCCTCCATACTTATTTTGTGTTTTTTTTCTTTAAATTCAGATATATACACCACAAATTGGTGGAGAACTGTGACTATTAGAAGATAATTATATTCTACTTACATTTATTTAGTAAATAGCAATAGCACTTAGACTTTACATAGTGCTTTACAGCCATCTCTAAGTGGGTTTACAGAGTCAGCATATTATCCCTAACAAACTGGGTCCTCATTTTACCAACCTTGGAAGGATGGAAGGCCAAGTCAACCTTGACCTGGTGAGGATCGAACTCCTGGCAGCAAGCAGAATCAATCTGAATACTGTATTCTAATCACTGTGCCACTATCGTTCACGCACTTTTTTAAAAAAAAAATCAAAACTCAAATGGATACAATTCTTTCTTCTTTTTTTAAGCCAGATTGTTAAAAATCAACAAAACAAACTGGAAAAATGAACCTCGAACCTACATTCTATAGTTCTAAAAACAACTTTAATAAATTTAAATCCAGTAAGAATCAATCAAATTCTCTCAAAAGAATGAGTAAGTATTTTCTAGAATTCTTCAGACTTATAGCATATTGTTCAAATAGGAATTCTGGATCCTTGGAGAAACTATTTTTTGTGGATAAATACTTGAAAAGAATTATATAAACCAACAAGGGAAAACACTTAGACTTTGATAAATAACTGTATTTCCTAAAGCAAGAGATGAGGGATATTTACAACAATGCTTCTGTCAAGACAAAGCATCAATTTGCATATATTGCATGCTCCAATAAAAATCCACATTTTAAACCTAAGATTCATGACTTAGCTCATTTATCATATGCATTAATCACTTTGTTCTTTCAGTGCTTACTGTAATAACAATGGCTGGATTTTCCATTCACTGTTGCTTTTCCTTTTTCCAAAAGCCAATTTCAAGACTGTCTGTTTATCACCCATCGATTCCAACTATTTACAGAATCTATGCTACCTAATAAAAATCCCAAGTCTCTCTAGAGAGCACCATGTTATTTTTTGACATTACGCTTTCGGTGTTTTACAGATCACTATTCCCAATGCATGAGCAAGCAGCATAGGTTTGTTCCAGCTTGCACATTTTTAACTGATTACAAAACAACTGACTATCTTAGTGATAGGAAGTAGCAGACAGACAGACAGTGTAAAATAATAAAATAAAATAAAATAAAATGAAATAAAATAAAACAAAAAATAAAATAAAAAATAAAATAAAATAAAATACAGGAATCTGCAGGGGGGAGGTGGACCGTAAGCTTGTGTGCATGTGTGTAATTCTAGGAAGGCAGGAAATAAACTACCCGGACTGGAATTTGGTCAGGGCTTTGAGGGATAATTTTACTCTTCATTTATAAATAGTCCTCTTGAGAATCTTTAGCAGTCACATGTGAGTGAGATTTGTCATCTGAGAAACAGCAGACTGAACAGTTGCCAGTGTTGTTATATCCTGGTTTAAGAGGGTCTAAGTCAAGAGAGTAGCTTTGAGCAATGGTTTTAAAAATGTTCACCGTTAGAAACCATTCCTGTGTTGATTTTTTAATCAAGGAAAGCCTGCTGTATTGCAGAAAATTGATGGCCATTTTTCCATGTGTGTTATAGCATCACTTCAGATTAGACATGCTGAACTAACTGCTATCTGCTAAGAAATGAGAATATAATATTAAGTTTTCAAGTAATGGATCAATTCTCGCATACACACAAAGGTCTGCGCCTGTTATACCAATCCAGGACTTTAAAAATATAAAGAAAAATGGTCCTGCAAGGTGTTCCTGAGTTGAAGATGTGTCCCAGGTCTGAAAAGGTAGAAAGTTATGGATCTAAACCACATCCAAGACTTTCCCATCTTTGCACACTTATAAAAGAGTTTTTTAGTTTGTTTCAGGTAAGCACGTATTTTCTAATTGAGGAACACCTAATGACAGATTTATCCCTGAAGAACCATTTGAAGATTACGGAATGAACCAATCACTCCCAGGATCTTTTCAAAGCACTGATCCCATAATTTTAGATCTTGTTCCTTTGTCCATCATCAATCATCTCTGGTTGATTCACAGCCAGTACAGAAGCTGGGTTTGTATAGTTGACAGAGACCCATGTCACTTTGGCAGTGTTTCAGCATCTTCCTTCCTTTACTCTCTCTCTCCAGCTCCTACTCAAGTACATAAAAAGATCTTTTCTCATTCAAGCTCTGGCAACTGGCCAATTAAGCAGCTCCTAGTGTAGGTTAATTAGAAAAATGAGTCTATATGCTGAGTGGGTGGTCAAGGTATTTAGACAGAGAGGGCAGGATTTCATTTCTGATCAGATCCTTTGAGCAAAACGTAATATCTGATTCATGTTTTTCCATTTTTTTTCCTCTCCCTTTTTTTTAAACTGCTCACACGCTCCTTAGCTACATTTCCTAGAACTCTTCGCTGTGGGAGTCTGGCTTACATTAACTCCTAATTCGGATCTAACAGTGTTTGTTTTTCCAGTTAAGTATCAGACTGAAAACAAGCAAAAAGTCCACTATTAACTGACAGATATTTCCTCTATGACCAGATAACTACTAAAAATATTGAAATTTGAGTTTTCAGGATCTCTTTGTCAATTTGAGATGCAGAGAGTTAATGCTTTGTGCAGCACTACCTCTCCCATGACATCATTCCCTCAACCAGGATATTAAATCAGAATGAATGAAATGAGATTAGTGCAGGTGTCCATGAGCTATGGTTACTTCTATTTATTGCCCCTCTGCCTTTTGCATTCCGTTTCACCAGAGGAGTACACTCAGATGCATGTATTTCTGCCCTTTTACTTGCACCACATGTAAGATGACAGACTAGCAGTCAAAATGGAAGCATTCCAGATGCATTTCTAACAGAAGCCATATTGTACCTAGCACAATACAACTGTTCTACCTGTTAGCATATCACAACATAAATAATTTAGTCTGTTGAAGAGAAGAAAGCATGTATTCTAACTGATTTAGTCCTCAAGGCCAGGGCAAAGCAGTACTGATGTCAGATCTGTGGATTTAGAGAAAGATTTGATCTAATGCTGCAAGGAGGAGATGATTTTAGCAGCAAAAATGATGCAAAGCAGGCTATACAGAACCCTCCCTCTTTCTGCTGATCAACCTCCTTTCCCCCCCCCAAAAAATCATTCCAAATATTCAGAACTCAAGAACGATCAATCTTCATCATGTCCATCAGGAAAAAAAAAACCCTAGGATTTTATATATGGTGACAGCAGAAAGATTGCTCTATGCACAAAAGTGGAAGGATGCCTCGATTCCTACCATGGACGAAGGGTTGCAAATGCGGATAGAATTAGCAGAGATGGCCAATTTGACTGTGCTGATCAAAGAAAAGA